CCGCTAAGATAGTCTACGATCGAACCGATATGGTTCTGTTCGTGATTTATTTTGAACCGCACCCATATAAGTAGTGTACGGCAACAATGCTCCGCGAGTTGGGATTTACTGTGGTCGATTTGGTATAGATAAAAGATTAAGCTGAATCCGAGGAAATGTCCGATGTATAAACATTATATGGATTATACACCTCTTAGGTTCGAGGCTAACTGTATCTTAGACACATTAAGGTTTGTGTTCTTAATTTAACAACGGTTTTAGTAGACGAATATTGAGATATTATTTTGAAGTCGGCGTTAAATGCGTTTTTTTTATTACTGACGTGAACAAGACAATATTGCGTTGTAAATAAATAGATAATTGCCTACTTTTATAATTTCAAGATACAAAATAGATAAATTACAAATCAATTTTAATAATTGTGTGATGTGGCACAACTATTTGATTGCTACTAATATCCTCTCTTCCCCATCTCCTCATCAACTGTCTACAGCTGGACATGGAATTTTTCCAAGGTAGACACTGGCATATCACACCTTCTTAATAACAGCTCAAAGTAGTAGAAAACTACGGTTACCAACCCGCCTGCCAAGCGTGGCAACTATGGCCAAATCCCCCTTAGGAGACTATTTATGGCGGAGGCGCGGGGGGGGGGTTATGTTAAGCAGTGTACTTTATAGGCTCTAATGGATGGATGGATGTACAACAGTAGATTTCTAATATGAATACTGTCAAATATATAATACTATTAATTGTATGTTTCCCGCCATTATCGGGAGTGCTACAAAATACTCGAAAAGTGTCGAATTAAATAAAAATTACGCGATAAATCTCGTTAAAATAATTTTGTTCAAACCCTTCAATGAATTGAATAGCTAATAAAATACGAGTTGTGGGTGTCCCACCGTGACCACGAGTACAATAATATACTATAAAAATAGGGGGTCAATATTAGTAAGTATTGATGAAAATGATGTTTATTTATAAAACTGATTTCTTTGATGTCTTTGTTCGATCGCAACTAGACAAAATGATTAAAGCCATTCTAGCCTCCTTTATCTAATTGGATGCAGGTGTCATTTTACTACAATAACCACTCACAAACAGGTAGGCTGTATGTCCGTTTATCACTTCAATTTTATAGAAGAAAAAGTCAGTGTACGCGACATAATAGCGCGAAACATAAATTCTCTACAAATTATTTAGCGCGCAATCGCGTTCCAAGATTGCAATAAATTGCTTTAATTGTGGAGACCCCAGGAAAGTCGTCCGTTAATGACTGTCATAGTGTCGTACGCAGGAAATGAGCGTGTGACAGCACAGATGGCATCTGCTTTGTAACGGACTGGAGGGAAGTCTTTTCAAACCACATTACCAGTTCCACAAGCACACAAGTCATTAATAAACAGTCTGATGAGTGGATCCAGTGTTTCTAAAAGAAAGCTAAATAATACAGTATAATCTCACTAATCTTCACTTTTATGGGCAAGTTGGATCTTTTATAAACTTCTTGACTTCTGGGACAAAGTCTTTATGAAACCATTCGCTAGAGACCTCTTTCGTAACCGTTAGACGAAGATGTATCGACCGGAGCCCATAGGCCTAGAGGGGCGAGCGAGGCGAGGGAGAGGGTGCCGGATTATTGGACATGTCGGTCTATTGAAGTGCCAGATTAGTGAGATTATACAGTAATTCTGTTATTTTTAACTTTACCTTCATACTAGGACTTTCTCCCGTATAGTTAAAGCGATTAACATATATAAATCGTACATGGGCAAACGGCCAGACCCGGAACAATTACTTGTAGTTCATACACACTGTCAACACTTGTTCCGGACGGGATATCTTGATGTTTTGTCAATATCCCAGCGACTGGAACACTGCATCGAAGTCGATGATATGACATTGTCGATTTTACGACACACACCTTACCTTTATACGTTGGATACGGTTAGTTTAAGAATTACATAGGTTAGATTAAGATGAATGAGTGTCCCCGTGGTTGCACGTGTATTTCTCGAACTACAATTGTATGATAAAATATGACGTCTTTATTATTACAGGAACTTATTAAGCAGGAATAATACCAAAAAATATTAAGCAATTATAAAAAAAAATGAAGCAACAATATTGCGAATTGTGATATACATCAATCGCAGACGTCAACAGATAATTAATTGTAGGCAAATCGATTACATACAACATGGATTCTTAGTTTGCAATTAAGATAAGCATGCTAAATAGCATTGGCTTAGGTATTACTCAGTCATAATTAGGGTTGCCACCTTTTTTGAACGAATATTTTTCCCAAAAAAAGATGCAAAAATATTGAACTACTGTGAAATTCAGAAGAAAAAAATTACACACTTATTTTTAATCTATATATTTTTCCACATATATATTTGTTATTGCTCTTTGCCGTCAATGATCTAACCACCTTACCTTCTACATTACCTTTAAAATAATTATAGAAGTCTGATTAATTTAGATTCAGATTATTAAAATAAATTAACAACTAATTTTTAATTAGAATAACACATCCTCTTTTTCTTTCTTCTTTCGATTTAACAGTCATGATGGAAAAAATACTTTCCCTAAAACTTACTTGTTCTAAGCTTCCAATCACAATTAATATAAATAAGCACGACAGTTGAATTAGGGATAAAAATATAGTACTTTTCGTACTTTATTAGGTTTCCATAATATATAGTATAATTGACTGAAATATAGTACGATACTATATATTATAGTACGGGTGGCAACCCTACTCATAATCCACGTCAACACACTGGACATCATAACTTGTTGCAACGGCAGGTTTAAATTAATTTTATAGGGACAAACCGTAATGTTTTACATAATTTCGATATGTACCCATATTCTAAGTTTTGTTTATATATAGGTGAAAATAAACGCTTGAGAGCAAATACTCGTATTACGCGTAAAAAAAACTAAATAATATTTTTAATGACAGCCTAAGTACATTACATTGTATATATTTACTGATAAATTTCATAGCATGTGAATAAACTGAGCTTGTTATCAGCCGACTTAACTAAAATTGTTAGTCGAAGTATTCAATTTTTTTTATAGAATAAATGTGATAAACGAGCACATACTCTATTTGGTAAGTGGATGCTATAGCCAAAAACATCTACATCTATCATCGATTAACACTACAGTACACGCGCCCCTTTTTTTTACTTGACTACACGCGTGGCCTACTAAAGTAGGCCATATTAAAATGCCAATAACTTGAATATTCCTAATTATCTGATTGAAACAACAAACGGAATGTAAAATGTATTTATTTACTTAGTTTTACAACCTTACTCTTTAGAAAAATTATTAAGAAATTATTAAGAATCAACAATTTAGTAAATATATAAGAAAAAGTATCAAAAATGGCACTTCTGAGATCAACGTAATTTTGTAATAACTTAAACTAAACTTTATTACTATCTTATTTGTTTTCATAGCATTCAGGACACACTACTGCTTGGTGATCGGGACGAATCCATTTATTACAAGTTTTGCACCACTTTTTCGTAGACCGATTTCGGGCTCTCGAGCAGAGTGCACATCGACCGACTCGTCCTATCTTTGAAGTGAAATCGTGTTGAGACTCTTGTGGTTCTTGAACTGTGTTGCCCAAAAGTGCTTCTATCCTGAATTTAAGTTGTCGTGGAAGTGTTTCAATTGATGCCCGGCGAATCAAAAGCGGTTTTATCAAATTAAAGGACAATTCCTGCAAAAAAAACCCATGACAATTTTTTCGGCAGAGGCGTTCATTTGGTTGATTACCAGAGCGTTGATTCCAACAATGTTCATCAAATCAAAAAATATTACTAGGGGCCATCGACGGCAGTTACGCTGAACACTATACTGCTTGCACATTTTGTCGAGAATGTCTACACCGCATTTAGTACGATTATAAAAAGTAATAATCTCCGGCTTGCGTTCTTCATTTGTATCGGAATCGATAGCTGCATCATAATGCATTGTAGATAGTAAGTTGACTACCTTTTTTATTTTTGGAACGTAGGACACAAGTGTAGCGTCTTTTTGAAATCCAAAAAGAGAACTTTTGCTAGTCCTAGACTTCGAAGCTTTGAACTCCTTAGGAATTTCCGGTCTATTTGCTTTCATAGTACCAACAATCGTGATTTTCTTCTGCAACAGCTGTTTAGCCAGAGGTAGATTTGTAAAATAGTTGTCCATTGTTACATTGCAACCCAATTCATAAAGTGGATCCAACACTCTATGGACGACGTCATTTACTTTGTTGGACTTTTGAAACGGACCTTCTGGTTGGGCACCAACATATATCTCAAAATTGTAAACATATGGAAACTTTGTATCTACGACCATGAAAATCTTGATTCCGAATTTGTCCGGCTTATTCTGTATGTACATTATGAAGCCACAACGTCCTCGAAAACCGACAAGTTGTTCGTCTAACGTCAAATAATCACTAGGTACATAGTTGTGGCGACAATTGTTGGTGACCAACTCTACAACTTGTCGAATTGGTGCCATTTTATCAAGTTCTCGGCGCTGTTCTCTGTCGGTAACGTCGTCAAATCTTAGGGTACGTATCAAAAACCGGAATCTATTTATTGCCATTGTGGCATATACAATTTCCAAACCAGTACCCTGAGAGTTATCCCAAAAATCCTTTATGTTACGCCGTCCATTTCGCGATACTCCCATGACGTATAATATGCCCAGAAATGCTCTCATTTCTACTACATCAGTGGGTTTCGCATCCCTGTTTCTTTGAAAATCGACTTTTATTTTATCTATGTATATATATATTAGTGCACCTTACCAAGATGTCCAAAATATCTTGCGTGAAAAATAGTTGGAAACAGGATAACGGATCCTTAGCTTTCCTAGCTGCATCTCCTTTTGGGCCTGGTGGCCTTATCCTAATGTTTTGGTGTCGAGTTCGCGTTGCTGGTGGAACATCTTTGTGCCAAATAGTTCCGTTCGTCGACTTATAGACTGGACTGCGCCTTCCGGTTGCTAGTTGCGAGTGGAACGTTATCTGAACCTGATGTTTCGTCAGATTCACTCAATCTTTCTTCTTCATTTTCACGGAGTTCTGACTCGCGGACTAAGTCCTGCAAGTCTGGTTCTGGCTGGATTTCATCATCTTCACTCTCAATCACTTCTTCATCTTCAGTATCTAGCTCATGCAGCCACCTTTCCACTTGTGAATCATCCATGATGTAATCGGGTATATAATTCTGTAAAAAAATACTAAAATAAGAAAAAATATACATTTTACAAATTGTAAGCAATATAAATAATAATAATAATTAAACATATATAAATATACTATTAATAAGTAAAGAATATTATAATAACGTTATAAATCCATAATACACCAAAAGTTACATACCTGAATTTGGTACACCAATACACGCGCGGACTACTTTAGTGGGCCCACGATTTTGGCGCCAAATTGCTTGTGCGTGTGTACGCGCTGGGTTCGCGCTGGGTACTGACTACTGAGGTCGTGACAAATATACCAAACGAGGCTTACCTGGAATTACAATCTCCTAGCACTCTTAAGTAAAAAGTTATTGCAAAAAAAGTTACCCTGGTCTACTATAGTAGGCCGCGCGTGTACTCTAGTGTTAGAATAAAAATATTAAAATACAGATGTGTTGCCCTGAGGACTAAGATGAAATACCCAGTGTAAGGGTCTCCATTTCTCTACACTCACCATACGAAACGCCGCAGTTTTAATCTGCTGTTTCGCGCTGGTATTCCATGAGAGCGCGGTTCTTCCACGGTCGATCCGACCCATTTGTTCTACGACCATAAAACAGCTGAAGCATAGCTATATCACGTGTAAACTAAAACATAAATAAAAAAATAAAAAAATAGAAATCTTTAAAATAATTTATATTTTACGATTTTAAAATAATTTATAATTTATCTACAATAATCACCGCATATGTATTCATAGAGGTAATTCAAAAACATGCTTTAGAATATTAGCAAAAGCGACGGTGCAGAAAACCGGTGTAAATCAGGCGATGAACGACGCGCCGGCGCTTACGCCAACTATGCGTATCCACCGATGCCAAAACGAAAACGTCCGTGTTAATTGGCTCCCAACATTATTGACTCATTAGCTCATATTGACGTCTTACCTGTATGTGGCATATGGACATCTGAATATTGAATGCGTCGCTGTACCACAAATTTTTGACTATTTATCATAATGGCGATCAACCAATGTATTTCAAAACAAATATATTCAACCAACGCTTGCTTCCAGCAATGACCCATAGAAACGAGGTGTGGTTCACCGATATAATGACTAGGAGTATGTTAATCGTTGACGCTTTTTACAGAAAAAAATATTTTTACAAAAGAAGATATAAGAATAAGAGAGGAGAGAGAGAGATAGAGAGAGAAAGAAAGAGAGAGAGACCCGCGTTACTAAGCTTAGTTGTTAACTTTATTGAGGCACTTTGCGTTAAGGTATCAACTTAGGTGATGTCAACCTGATAGTATACTTCTTAACATTGCAATAATTTCTAAAAAAAAATATATCCTAACATAATTTTGTCATTGAATACATTTGTTTTACCGGAAACGGATTTTATCGCGCGATAAAACTCCTCAGTGAGTAGTATTTGCGTAAATGTAAAAAATATCTCTAGATAATTATATCAAACAAAAAAGGCCACTATAAAACAGGCCGATGACACATGAGAATACATTAAAATTGCCGCGGCATACGTGGAGTACGTTTGTGACGATGATCTTATAGGTAAAAGAGTTTTTACCTATAAGTTCTAAGTTTTACTCATGAGATTATTGGTTTGTGACGATTATTAGACATTTTATGCCGAATAACTACAGTCACACTCACTAATCGTCGATTTTATCGCTAAAACTGAATGCATTCAGTATGGTCCTTGATGGCATTAAAGTGGCCGATAATAGGTAAAAAATATGGTTATATTATAATATGGAACGACTGTGTGGGGTAGCCAAAAATACCTAACATACGGTAAAATAATATTTTAACTAAGCAATATTTTTACAATACAACATGCGTTTATAAATTATATACTTAGCAGCATATTATATATTATATAGCAGCTTATTGCTGCTGTGTTTCGTATAATGAGTGTAGAGAACCGGAGAACCTTTTACTGGAAATACGAGGCATTCCATCTTAGTACTCAGGAGTGGCAACGTATTTACATTTACATTCTTAATCTCGAGAATCTTTTAATTTCGAGGATAGATGTAGATATCTATGGGCCACAACATCCACTTACCATCAGGTGGACTGTGCTCGTTTGACACTCTTATTCTAGAGGGCGGATCCCAGAGGAACTGTGGCGTTAGTCGTCACAAGCAGCTTTCGGCGACGTGGAGAGACCATTCACTCAAGAAGTGCTTCACCTTAATAGACCAGGGGGTAACGTGTTAATATTTATAAGTTATTTAAATTGTATTCCATAACATCTCAGATTAATTTTTCATTCATACTCGTAGTAATATAAAGTAGAAAAGACATTATTGCACCTCGATCACAAGATCAACCAACTAGTTCTATATTACCTCATTGTAGAAACAAAAAGTAGTTATAGTATGTTATTTTAAAAGACAGCATGATAACTATTTATTTATTTTTATAAATAACTAAGCAACTCCGTAGCGCAGTGGCTAATAGAGGTGGGCCGAATATTCGTTTTATATTCGATATTCGGCATATTCGGCAGGTTTAACGAATATTCGTATTCGGCCGAATATTCGGCTAAATCACCGAACATTCGGTAAAGTAGTACTCAAAGTATCCACTGTATGGAAATGTACGAATTGAGTAATGCCATGTCTTTCATAATTTTGCTGTTGAAAATATATTTATTTATGGCTTAAATCTACTTATATAGCGATATTTTTTGAGGCACTGTATATTTATTTCCAATTATAGCAAATAGAAAGTTTGATAAAATTTTGTTTGGAATCAAACGAAGAAACATCACATTACAGTCGTCAGTTTCTCTAAATTTGGTCTACAATAGAAACGAGATATCTTAGATCTCCTGCCACTCATTTTCATCATATACTTATCAATTTTCAGTACGAATAACACAACGAAATAATTTTTTTCTTACAAAAATTGTCAAAACATAAGCATGTGCCGGCAATTTGCTCAGTACTAGATGATATAATAACATGTCAGGTGTGGCGGGGGAGCGAGGGGAAGGCTACATGCATGCCATTTACGTTCATGACTTGAAATAATGTAAATTCATGAAATACAAAACGGCATGCAAAAACAAGTCACCTAAATTTGCACATCTTTTTTGCAACTATATTATTTATAATACGATGGGCTTATTCAACATGCACGCCATTTGAATTAGATAATTATTTCGTTATAAAATTGATATTCATCCTTATTAGGAGGAATCACGGAAGATCGGAGTTCAATTTTTCCAGAGTGTTTTTATTACAAAAACTTCCATTCTTTACATCGGCATGCAATTTGAAAACACGGAATTGCCCTTTAATTTTTTTCAGGTTTTCAGAACCCTTTGCTTGGGCCGCTGCGGGGTGCATGCCATCAATTATTAGAGCTTCAATTTGCTTGAACTTCCGTATATTACAATGGCATGCAGTATACTATCACAGAAAAAACACGAAAATTCGCTACACAAAGAAAAGCGCTTTTCCTTATGAAGAGGACGCGCGGGGGGGGGGGGCGCTAAAGCCCCGACAATCTTTGACATTTTAGGGTTAGTTATCAAGCCTTAAAAAGGCACGCACGACAAAATCATGGAACGTCACCTGTCACCAGCTCCCGGTCTATTATGGTAACAAATTTCGACATAAATTGGTTAGGTACCGAGGTAATCCTGCCGAATAATGTTCGGCCGAATATTCGGTTCGGTAAAAATTTTACCGAACGTTCGGCCGAATATTCGTATTCGGTGAAATCCATATTCGGCCCATCCCTAGTGGCTAAGCGTTTGGTGCCACAGGGCTTCAGGTTTCAATACCGTACAAAACGAGTGTTTGTATAGCATACTAATAGCTCCGGGCCTGGATATGATGTGTTCATCTGCAATTGTTAACCACTTCCTCGATATATTGTACTAACGTTTTCTACGTTAAAACAAAAAAATTAAACCATAGATTTATATAAGTAGAAGTGTGGCACAAAAAAGTAGGGTTGTATAGTGTGTAAAAAAAGTTCTTGAAGAGCGTAACAAAAAACTCACTAAACTATATTTCAGAAATTAAGCTAAGATAAAAATTACCATGTTTTTTTGTCACAGTTTCAGAGATCCTCAAATTGATAAAATGTTAACATTTTTTGTATTCCTAATGATTTGTATAGCGGAAAACGTAAAGAATTATCTTACGCGTTAAGCAATCTACACTAATTAAAACCTGACTTTGGTATACTGGTCGTAGACGAGACTACTGATCCCGGCTTCGAATTTCGGGTCGGACCAATATCAGTTATTGGGTTTTTCTGTCAAGAAATTATCATTAGCAGCCCGGAGTCAGGAAGTGGTGGTGTTTTACTATAAAATAAAATAATATACATAACAATATATATATATATATATAATATATTCTTATAATTTATAGTTATAATTTTTATATTGTTATACAATTCGATGATAATAAGAATTATAATAACATTTAAGTTTAATATGAGTAGGGAATTTAATTATGTAACTTAATATGCCACTTTATATGTGAACGCTGTTTATAAAAATAATCTATTACATATTTTAAGCATTAATAAATTTAATCTACAAAATGAAAAGATTCCTCAAAACTTAACTATTTAAACGCATTTGAGAATACGAAATTAATACATCCGTTATAAAACTTTCGAAGTGAAAGAGCTGCAAAATTCACATTTAATATAAACACTTAAAAAAAACTTGTTCTTTCAATTTCAAATTAACCGGCTGATAGATTAAATATTACATATGATAAACAGTATTCTAATTACTGTATTAAAGAATCTGCAATAGCTGACATTATACAAATAAAGTAAAGATGCCAAAGTATTGCCTTCAGCTATAGAATTCACACTTTTAACTCACTACGTGGTAGAGCCACGCTGTAGCTATATTATAGTTGTAGCATGAATGGGTCGGCTCTACCGGGGTAGGACCACGCTCTCACAGAATACCAGCGTAGAATAGCAGCTTAAAGCTGTTGTGTTTCG